CCGCCCCGCCCGCTCACGGCCCTGCCCCACCGATGGGATAGATCGCGGGGCCACGGCTCGGCTCGTCTCCGGTTGCTCGGTCGCAGGTGGGATTTCTCTAGAAAAACATTAGGGTAATAAAGAATACTGTGGGATATCCTGTAGCTGTTTAAAAGGAGTGAGTTAATGGTGTATCTCCAGGCCAAACGAAGAACACAATTCTGTGTGTGTATGTGAGTACATACATTTTATAAACACACATTTAGGTCTATGTATGCACATAAGTCCATAGGAAAAGTAGGATTGAAGTATGATTTTCTTTTGGTGGGAAAAAAAATTGAAGTCCTTGCATAGTTTTTTTTTAATAGTACACATTGTCCATGAACTTTTTGGACACACTCCCAATATGGCCTGAGACAGCACAAGTGCAGAGAGGTTATGAGAGGTCACATCAAGCTGTTTATGTTGGCTTCTTTGAGGATTTGAAATGGCAAGATAATAATTTTTCCCCGCAGATTTATCTTTTTACAGTTGCTGTTTACAGCACACGTTTCTGTGTAACTTTTTAAAAAATGATTAATAATAATAATAATAATGGGAAAAGACCATAGGGATATCTTCTCCTGATGGCTTTAGCGAAGTGACCCTCGGTTTCCTGCGAAGAGGACTGCGTTGGACTGTTTGCAAGTGACTGTGGGATGGCACTGTGTGTGGGAACTGCTGTTCTCTGCGGGGTCTCTGGGAAGGAGAAAGAGGACCCCAGGTACCTGTATTCGGTCTTCAGGGAGCTCAGTTTTCATGGCTAGCATCTCCCGGGCATACACGTCAGGGTAGTGGGCCTCGCTGAACGCCTTCTCCAGCTCTTCCAGCTGGTGGGCAGTGAAAACAGTCCTGTGGGGAGCCCGGAACACAAACATAGACCCGTGTCCACCCTCCCCACCTTAAAGACCACCGTGCCTGCCCCTCCTGCTGCCCAGTCATCTCGTGATAGCTGGACACCCACCTCTGAATGATTAGCTTCTGGAAAGTCCAGAAGTTTGGTGCAAACAAAATAGCTCTTTCTTAATGTCAACCCATTCTGACAAGACCCATTGTACAGACTCCCAAAATCGTGTCTTCAACTGTGAAGATTGTCCTATAGACTATCGGAATCTGCAGAATTATCTTCCCAAATGGCTGTTTGCCCTTCCCACTGCCAGCCAAGGGGCATGGGCCTGCCATATCCCAGGGCCACAAATCCTTAGAGGCTGGTTCATAAACATCACAGCACTGTTGAAGAAAAGGCCAGGAGCTTGGCCTGGCCCTGTACCTGTGCCTCCGCTTCTTCCTCTTGCCTGGGGAGGGGGATTCCTGAAGGTCACTCCTGTCTTCAGATGGGCTGTCCTCATCTGGTAGCATAAGAAGAAAAAAGAGGACTTCAAAGGTGAGCAGATATTCCATTTTGTTTCCTTGAGTTTTCTTCTAAGGTTTTTGTCAAAAGGTGCATGCACCCATCAGAGAGAGACAATGAGAGGAAAAGTGAGAAATCACCCCCTGAGGGGATGACCATACCACAACCCCTTCTCCTTTTTCCTCCTAGGATCTTGGGTGTGCCCAGAGTGATTTTCAAGCCAACAGATGGGGACTCGAACCACAGTGGGCCATGTAGGAGTCCAGCACCTTAAGCACTATACCACCTACTGGCCCCCATTTTCTCGATTTTAATGTGAGGATTGAAGTGTATAAACCTATTGAACATGTATTTAACAATATGAGCTAGCAGTTTAGAACTAACTGGATTCCAGGCACAGGGCTTAACATCGTCCAGTTATTCTTCATAAAGAAAACAATTCTAAGGTAGTTACTAATGTTCTGTTTTGACAGATGAGGAAACCAAAGCATAGGGAGATGAAGTAACTTGCCCCAAGTCACACAGGTAGTAAGTGGAGGAGCTGGGACTGAGATCTCAGATCCTGTGAAGTTGAAGCTACTCAGATGCTCATTGCATTTGCTAACCACCCAGGTCCAAGTTCATTCGCCTCCCTCTTCCTCCAGCCGCCTGCCTCCTGCCTCACTGGAACCTCCACACCAGCATTTCTCAAAGGGGATCTCAGGGATCAGACTTCAGAATCCCTGTCAGAACCACACCCTGGCCTTGTGGACCCACTCAGAATCTTGGCAGGTGGTCTAGAAGAGTCATTCCTGACAGATGACCCTTGGATGTCCTTGAAAATTGTGCTTTATCTTTTTCTACCCTTTACATCAAAAGATCCAGCTAGAAGGGAAGGCGGGAAGACCACACTGCTGTCAGATTCATTGTTATAAAGTCTAAGTGCCTCCAAATATTTTTAAATGAACGAATAAAGGCAAAAGTAATTAAACTAATGCTAATTTCACCCTACACCAAGGAGAGCGCCAGAAAACGGTGCTTGCATTTCAACATCCTGCATTGTGCTGTCTGATCTGGTGCCACAAGACGCTTCAGGTTACTGAGCACGTGAAGTGTGGCTCCCATCTGAAGTGTGGCTCCCATCGCAGCCTGCTGGACACACAGCATACTCCATGGACTTAGGGACTTACTGCCCTCGCAAACAAAACATTTTTGTATATTGCTTACGTGTAAAGTTACAGCCTCTGCATTTATTTGAATTAACATATAGTGCAGTGTTTTAAATAACCTCGCCTGCTTTCTTCCTGTTTAATGTAACTATGAGGCATGCCACCAGACATGCGGTTGCATGATCCAGATTCTATTGGACAGCTCTGCTCTAGAAGTTTCAGAAACGCTCTCAGAACAGGACTTAGTTGTGCTGTGCCTTTCATTTTACCAGTGCTCATAGAACAAAGAACCTGTCCTCTGTTACTTTAGAGCTGGGTGGAAGCTTGCCATTTTTTTTGTTTGTTTTTAAATCACTGAGAACACATGTACCCTTTTTGCAGTGGCCCCCTGGATGCTCCCCTCTGTATTCCACTACACGGTTTCGGTTGGCCCAGGATTTCTTGTGTAACTCTCCTTTATCTTCCATCACATCCCAAACTTTTCAATTTTGTGGCCCCGGTCCCTTATAAACTTCCACTACTCCCTTCTCTTTCTTCTAACCCACCTCGATTTCTTCGAGGACATAGGTGGGCTCCGGAGAAAACGCTGAGCTAACTGCATTGCAAGGGCGAGGCCGCGGAGTCCTCTTGGGTGCAGGAGCAGAGAGGACTCCGTGGCGGAGCAGAGGAACCCGGTACCTCGGACCCCAGTTCAGCACCTGGAAGCCGGACAGTTCCAGGTCCCGGGCCCGGATACTCCAAGCGCGCGGGTCATTCAGTTGAGCCTGAATTTCTGCGCCCCCAGAGTCCCAGATTCGGAGCTGCCGACCAACTAGACAGGCCCTGCCTTGCTGATCCACTCCCTTCCCAGAGGCCGGGAATTGCGCCCTAAGGCCCCAGAGGCCCTAGGTCTCCTCAGGAGGTCCCGCCTGGATCAGGTGGCGGTCCCCGCGGCGCGCAGCGGCCCGATGCCTAGGGCAGGGATGTGGGTTCCAGCAAGGGGCCGGCGGCGCTGTAGCGCGAACGCGCCTCCCTCGACGGGACCTCGCTCGCAGGTCCCCGCTTCCCTCAGATCTAGGCTCGTGGGGCCATGGGGTGCTACTCCCGCCGCTCGAAGCCACGGGGACCGCGACAGGAGCGGGAAGCGAGGGCCCAATTACCGGACGTCGAGACGCTCTCGCGGCGCTTCTGGCGGCCGAGCGCGGGCGGCGGGCGGCTGGGGGCCTGCGG